CCCCAGCACCATCCCAACCCTCAGCCCCAGCCCATCCTCATCCCAGCCCCGGGCTCCATCCCAGCATCCATCCCAGCCCTCATCCTGGCACTGGTCCCGGTGCTGGTCCTCATCTCCATCCCAGCCCCAGTCTCCATCTCCGTCTCAGCCCTGGGCCCCATCCTGGTGCTGATCCCAGTGGTGGTCTCCATTCCCATCCCAGTGCCAGTCCTCATCCTGACCCGATCCTGGCCCTGCTCTGGGCCCAGTCCCAACCCCAATCCCATCCCAGCCCTGGGCCCCATCCTGGCTCTGGTCCCAGTGCTGTTCCTGATCCCAACCAAGCTGCTGGTCCCAGGCCTGATCCTGGCTGTGATGCTGGACCCAGTCCTCATCCCCACCCCAGCCCTGGTCCTGATACTGGTCCTGGCTCTGGTGCTGTTCCCAAGCCCGATCCTGACCCTGCTGTGGTCTCAGCCTCAGCCCCCAGCCCCATCCCAGCCCTGGTCCCAGTGCTGCTCCTGATCCTGACCATGCTGCTGGTCCCAGGCCTGATCCTGGCCATGATGTTGGTCCTGGTCCTGGTGCCGGTGCCAGCCTCAGTCCTGGTCCTGGTGTGGCCTCAGTTCCCAACTCCAGCCCAGCCCTGGGCCACATCCTGATGCTGGCCCCAGTGCCAGTCCTGATACTGGTCCCAGGCCTGATCCTGGCCTTGATGTTAATCCTGGTCCTGATGCTGATCCTGGCTCTGATACTGGTCCCGGCCCTGATCCCAGCCCTGATGCTTATCCTGACCCTGATGGTGCTGGCCCCAGCCCTGCCCCTGCCCCTGGTGCTGGTCCTAGCCCCGATCCTGGTCCAGGCCCCGGTGCCAGTCCCAACCCTGATCCTGGCCCTGATGCTGATCCTGGCCCTGGTGCTGATCCCAGCCCTACTGCTGATCCTGGCCCTGGTGCTGATCCTGGCCCTAATGCTGACCCCAGCCCTGGTGCTGATCCCAGCCCTGATCCTGGCCCAGGTGCTGATCCTGGCCTGATGTTGATCCCAGCTCTAATGCTGATCCCAGCCCTGGTGCTGATCCCAGCCCTGGTCCCATGTGGTGCCAGCCCCGTTCCATGGGCAGTGGGCGACGCTCCCCTCTCTGCCCTCAGACCAGCATGAAGAACATGGAGCGGGAGCTGGTGTGCCCGGTGTGCAAGGAGATGTACAAGCAGCCGCTGGCACTGCCCTGCACCCACAACGTGTGCCACGTGTGTGCCAG